AGTAAAAATGACAATGTTGAGAATTGCTATTGAGAAATTTTCAAAAAATGACGTCACAGTAATGGGAGTGAAAATTTGCTTAATTATCGTGAAAATAATGTCAAAATGCTCAAATCAATAACAATATTTAATTAAAAAATATATATATATTTCAAAAATAATTAATGGTCATAAAATGTATTAATTTTATTTAATACAAATGAGTCATTTTCTTTTTGCAAAATGGTTTTATCTTATTCTATTAAAATAATGTATATTTAATTTTTTGTTTTGCATTGTTTCATTATTTTACATTATTTTCATAACAGTTAAGCATGTTATCATCCTAAAGAAATGAATCACTTTAATTTATTTAATTAAAATGTGTTTATATTATACAAAATAATTTTAGTATATTAATTTTAGTATTATATAGACATTTATATTCAAGCTACCATTTATTTATAACACTTAGAGTATAAGTTGCAATATTGAGAATCATTAACAATATTGAAAAGAAATACTTTTTTTTTTAAATTTTATTATGTTTGCATTGCTTTCATTATTTTACATTATTTTTTATAAGAATTAACCTCAGTAAAAATGTAAATATTGAGAATTGCCTTTAAGAATAGTTTAAAAATAAAAGCTCAAAAGTAAAATGGTGTACAGTAATAAGCACCTGGGAGTGAAAACGTTCTTAATTATCATGAAAATAATTTCACAATCCAAAAATCTTAATGGTCCTAAAATGTATTAATTTTAATTTACCTATTATTTATTTTATTTTAAAAAAAAAAAGATGTGCAGCACAGTATTATATAGCCATTTATATTCAAGCTACCTGGTCTTTAGAAGGGCATACACAGACTGGATCTGTTAGATGAGCTGTGTTTGATGAATTTATAACACGTCCATTGATTTGATTTAGCCGCTCTGCTCAGTGTTTACCCAACACTAAGTCCAGATGCTGCTGCATTCCTGCAGCCTTCCCCGCGGCCGAGGGGAGGAACACTGCCGCCATTGTTTGCCCTACCCACAGTCCTCTGGGAGTATCCGCAAGCCCGGCTAATATGTAGCGTTCGGTGGCATTGGTTGCGATGCTATCGCTCACAATGCAGCCATAGTTCAGCGGCACGTCAGACCAAACGGAGGAGAGCGCTTGTAAAGTCAGAAACAGGTCATGACCAGGTCGTCTGAAAGAGAAAGTGCAGATCTTTATAATATCTCCATTTTTTCTCCTAGACACTTTGACATTTAGCTGAATGAATTAAGATGCTCAGATCTTCAAATCAGACGTTCAAGTAGAGGAATTGCTATTGAGAATTAGCACAAAAATGTGCTTAATTATCACAAATATAATGCAATTTGTTTTTAAATAATAATTTTTTTATTTTATTTTATTTTTTATATTTTATATTTTATTTTATTAATTTTATTTTATTTTATTTTATTTTATTTTATTTTATTTTATTTTATTTTATTTTATTTTATTTTATTTTATTTTATTTTATTTTATTTTATTTTATTTTATTTTATTTTATTTTATTTTATTTTATTTTATTTTATTTTATTTTATTCACAGTGCAACACATCTTTATGGTCCTAAAATGAATTAAAACGTTTATTTATCATTCAGTGTATTTTGTCATTTTCAGTATACATTTTATTTTATTTTATTATTATTTTTTTTTTATATCACGATGCAAAAATGATTAGTGGTCCTAAAATAAATATTTAAAAAATGTATTTAATTAAAATGCATTTCCATTATGCAAAGTATATTCAAATCAGATGTTCAAGCAGAGGAAGGAACAGAAGATATCTGTTTTTCTTGCTGACTGTGTTGAAATATGTAGTTTTTCCCCATCCAGGAAAAACATGCATTCTGAAATATTGTGGTTTGGACTGAGTTTATAAATGTGATTTGCATGTGTTTCTGAACCCAGAGGAAAAGTGAAGTTTGATCTTTAACAGTTCACATGGTTTAATGAATCTCTCAGTTATATTGCATTCGAGTATCTTCGTCTCAGATGTTTTTACAGATGCAAATTAATCACTAGTTGTCATCCAGTAAGAGTTTAGAGAGACATGACAATGAGAAACATGGTCAGCCCTTTTCTGTGTGTGTATGAAGCTTGACGTGAGAGACGACGGTTCGATGTAAGATTTGCTTTCATAGCTGTTCTGTCGCCTATGGAAAAATCAATCATCAGTTCTGCACATGCTGTTCAAGTGTGCTTCTCATTGTCTATAATGCAGACATACACACATACTCACCGCATCAGACAAGAGTGTTATGAGCAGAAATCACACAATCCAGCAAGAACATGGTCTGGTCATATTTCACCCTCAAATCAGATGAAAGAAATGAGAAATAATTAAAACATATAAACCAGAAATGTTTTGCATGAAGAAAATGAGGCATATTTTAGGACCTAACATGTTTTGCGTTGTTTTCATTATTTTGCTTTATTTTCATAGTAGTTAAGCACATTCACATTCGCATTCATTCAGTAAAAATTAGAATTATTAAAATAAAAAAACTAATTAAAATGATATTACAGGAATGAGCGGCTGGCTGGCGGTGAGAAAGTTCTTAATTATCATGAGGATAATTTCACAATTCAAATATTTTTAATGGTCCTAAACAATTTATTAATTTCAATTTATTTAATCATCTTTTTAAAATAAATTTCATTATACAGAATTTTATTTATTTTATTTCCTAAACAATTGATTCATTTCAGTTTATTTAATCATCTTTTTAAAATCAATTTCATTATACAGAATTGTATTTATTTTATTTTATTTCCTAAACAATTGATTAATTTCAGTTTATTTAATCATCTTTTTTGAATCAATTTCATTATACAGAATTTTATTTATTTTATTTTATTTCCTAAATAATTGATTAATTTCAGTTTATTTAATCATCTTTTTTTAATCAATTTCATTATACAGACTTTTATTTATTTTATTTTATTTCCTAAACAATTTATTAATTTCAGTTTATTTAATCATCTTTTTTGAATCAATTTCATTATACAGAATTTTATTTATTTTATTTTATTTCCTAAATAATTGATTAATTTCAGTTTATTTAATCATCTTTTTTTAATCAATTTCATTATACAGAATTTTATTTATTTTATTTTATTTCCTAAACAATTGATTAATTTCAATTTATTTAATCATCTTTTTAAAATCAATTTCATTATACAGAATTTTATTTATTTTATTTTATTTCCTAAATAATTGATTAATTTCAGTTTATTTAATCATCTTTTTTTAATCAATTTCATTATACAGAATTGTATTTTATTTTATTTCCTAAACAATTTATTAATTTAAGTTTATTTAATCATCTTTTTTCAATCAATTTCATTATACAGACTTTTATTTATTTAATTTTATTTCCTAAACAATTGATTAATTTCAGTTTATTTAATCATCTTTTAAAAATCAATTTCATTATACATAATTTTATTTTATTTTATTTGTATTTATTATTATTTATTTATTTTTATTTTATAGTTTGTGTGAGATTCCCCCAAGCATGAAATCGAGGCTCAAACACACTCTGTATGTCGCGCCAGCTGTGGATGCGTATGGCCTCTGTCCTGCTTCATCAGCACATGTCCGTCTTCCTCTGTTTGTTGTATTTGCGGTCCGGCTGTCACACACGACCTCTCCCTCCATTCTCTCTCGCCTCATTCTTGTCCTTCCTCCCTCATGTTCTGTCACTCTTGTCCAGCGATCCGGTCTCATCCTGTCGTCTTTAACGCACAGGGGTCGACCAGGAAAAAACGCTCTCGTCTCGCCACAACAATTGAATCAGACGCTTACGTCTTTTATGAAGACGAGGAATGCAATAACAGGAAAATTGGGAGGATTATAAATAAAGAGCTGCATTTGGCAGGGCGAACAACTGCGTTTCGGGGTGCGACACGGTTGAATGTGTGGCTTCACACGGACTATTTTTAAGTCATTTTGATTCTTCATAGAAAAAAGTCATTAGTATTTGGGAATGTTTTTGGGGGGAACGGCCTCCTTTCTTTCTAGAAGATCTAGTTCATACCATTCTAAATATAGCACGTATATAAAACTCATAGTAAAATCTGTTGGCAAATGTATTCATTGTATTATAGCAAATAATAATTCTTTGGAAATTTTTTTTATATATATTTTTTTGTTGTTGTTGTTGTTTTTTTGTTTACGGAAATAATAATAATTATTTTTATTATTCTATTTATTTAACAATATTTTTTTAATTTAAATTATGATTTAAATTATTAAATAATTTTGTATTAAAATTAATAAAAAATACATTTTAGATAAGTGTATTATTATTAGTAGTAGTATTAATGTTATTATTATTAATTACTAATATAGAAGCATTTAGAAATGTTTTTTCATTATATTTAATATTACATAATTTTGGACTAAATTAATTAAAATACATTTTAGATAATTGTATTTATTATTATTATTATTATTATTATAAAAGTATTAAAATAGTATTTTATTTAAATCATTATTTAAATTTAATTTTATGTTAAATAATTTAGTTTTAAAATTAATTGAAATACATTTTAGCTAAGTGTAGTATTATTATAAAGGTATTAAAATAGTATTTATTTAAATTATATTTTTATATGAAATTGTTTTGAATCAAAAGTAATTACAATTATTTTTATATAAGTGCATTATTATTATTATAAAAGTATTAAAATAGTTTTATTTAAATTATATTTTATAGTAAATCATTTAGCATTAAAATTGATTCAAATAAATTATTATAAACATATTAAAAACAGTATTTATGAAATTATTAATCAACCTTTGATCGTTGTTGTGTTTTATAGTATTGCTGTTGCTACGGTTCACTCCAGGTCGTGTGTTAAGAGTGATTTTCCCACAATTACGTACTCGGTACTTAACAACCCCTATGAACCATGGGAGAAAGTATTGTATTCTGAGTATTCCAGCTGCTAAACCTCTTTATTGTGCTCCTGCAGACGAGCGAGAGGCCGTGCAGAAGAAGACCTTCACCAAATGGGTGAACTCACACCTGTCTCGCGTGTCGTGCCGGATCACGGATCTCTACATGGACCTGCGGGATGGACGGATGCTCATCAAGCTGCTGGAGGTTCTGTCCGGAGAGAGACTGGTGAGTTTGACTGGTGGTGTCATCGCCAGGGGGCGGGGCCAGCGGAATCTGCATAAAGACAATGCCCATATTTGGTCATTGTCATTCCCCGTCTCTGAAACCTGTTTAATGTGACTTTGCTGGCCGGTTGTGCCGAGTCAAATCCAGCGGTGTTTGGTTTCAGTGCTGTTTGGATGACGAGCCCAGTGGTTTTGCTTTCTCTCAGGCCATTAACCATGTGCGTCATCTAATTACCTGAAGCGGTTCTTTCCTGTCCAGAGACTCCGCACGCGCAGACTTTTGAGAATATAGCCTGTTAAAACACCAGCTTTTTGCACCAGGAGTGCATTATTGTTATCTGCTTACAAAAACACAGATGGAAACTGTGTAGAGTCTGTGATATGATCAGAACAAACAAACACAAAGATAATGAGGGAGAACATTTAGAAGGATGAATCTGTCAAGAACGTGCCCAGGTCATATTTCACAACAAAATAAAAATACAAAATTATGTTTTGCATAAAGAATATTAAGCCTTTTTAGGACCATTATGATTTTTTTGCATTGTCAGTAATGTAAATCTCCATTATGTTACACTAATGTTTGAATTCTATAATGTCAATAACAAAAACAATTCCATACTTTTTTGCCCTACAATTTTTTTTTGGATGACGAGCCCAGTGGTTTTGCTTTCTCTCAGGCCATTAACCATGTGCGTCATCTAATTACCTGAAGCGGTTCTTTCCTGTCCAGAGACTCCGCACGCGCAGACTTTTGAGAATATAGCCTGTTAAAACACCAGCTTTTTGCACCAGGAGTGCATTATTGTTATCTGCTTACAAAAACACAGATGGAAACTGTGTAGAGTCTGTGATATGATCAGAACAAACAAACACAAAGATAATGAGGGAGAACATTTAGAAGGATGAATCTGTCAAGAACGTGCCCAGGTCATATTTCACAACAAAATAAAAATACAAAATTATGTTTTGCATAAAGAATATTAAGCCTTTTTAGGACCATTATGATTTTTTTGCATTGTCAGTAATGGAAATCTCCATTATGTTACACTAATGTTTGAATTCTATAATGTCAATAACAAAAACAATTCCATACTTTTTTGCCCTACAATTTTTAATTTTGAGGCCTAGTCACTTTGTCACTTATGTATTGCCAAAAATATTATTTAAAGTTTATACATTTGTATATATGTTTTAGTAATATGTAGTATGGCAGGACTGCCTTTACTCCAGTGTTGTTTTAGTATTATTTATATACTATTATAGCATTTACGAATAATTTTTTTATATTTAGCTTTTATTTTCTTATTTTAAAGTAATTTTGTTTTGTGCTTTTGCCATTTTTATAATTTTTTAACTAATAAAAATTGCAAAAAAAAGATTTATTTAAATTTTAGCTGTAGTTTTAGTCATTTTACTACTTTTCTAATTTTCATTTGTTTTCAATCTAATATTTTATTTCAGCTTTATTTGAGAATCTAATAAGAATCGTAATGGCAAATAAACTAAAAAACAAATCTGGATATATTAGTTAATTGATCATTTATTTATTTAGTTAATTATTTATTTTTATTTTTAATATAATACTTATTTTTTTATATATTTAGTATACATTTAATAATTTCTCTTAGTTCACACATGACACTTTTTCCTGCACATTATATTACTGTACTTTTATTTACATGTACTCAAAATTCAGATACATCCAGATATATTAGTGGTGAGAATTGACCTAAACATGTTCTCAGTGAGATTTTGAATAGAATAAGATTAATATCATCTATAAGTCATAAGTTGTACGTTTCCAGACGGCGAGACGTCTCCTCATCAGAGTTGATCCATAGTTAAACTCTAACATCTGTGTCAACAGGTCGTGACCTTTGTGTGTGAAACACAGTTGTGGGGCGTCAGTTAAACTATTGTAACAGGGCTGAGACTGATAAGATGCTGAATACTCAAAACCAGATTGACCAACAAGCTTGTATTTCTGTCCTGAATAACACATCGGGTCCTTCTTGATCTGGAAGAGATGCACAAAAAAAAGCATAGATTTTAGTAAGGGAACAAAACTTTGCAAATGCTTTAAGACCCTCTAAATACACATAATTTATTTTATTTATTTTTTAAGCAATATAATAATTTCAAAAATAATGCTTTTTGTAAAATGATCTATGAAGTTATATTAGTGTCAAAAAACCTTTGTAAAATATATTTAGGCTTTTACCCATATCTGACACAATTCTGGACTGAATTTTGTTGATAAACATGAATATGTTTCGTCTATTGACGAACCATTGCAGCATGAAAAATTCATCACTTTTTTCCATCTGTAAGTGAGAGTTTATGCAAAGTAAAATTAATTTATTTTGTTGAAAACTTTCCAGAGTAATGTTTATGTTGTTTTGATGTTTTTGTTAGAAATAAATATGCAGGTTTCATACATTTGGACTGTTTTTGAACGAGCATGAGTTATAAATTGTAAAGAATGTAACCATTTTCAATGGGTTTTTTTTCAACTATCTTGGGGTTAATGCAGGTAATTCTCAAATGATATGTTCTTATAAATTTAATACAATGATATATTCTAATAAAATTTATCACCAGTATTGGACAAAAATATATAAATATTTAGCATCATAGTTTGTTTGTTGTAGTTTATGTGTAATTGGAAATTTCAAAGAATTTCTCAGTTTTCTTCAATTAATAAAAAGGGGGGGTTGCACTTTATTTTACAGTCCGTGCACTTACTTGTACTTATCTAAGAAAGTACTGGATAATATAAGGTAACTACATGGGTTAGGTTTCTGGGTAGTTCATGGTTAGTACCTAGTTATTAAACAGTTATTGTAATTACTATAACAAGTACATAGTATGTACACGCAGAAGAGGACTGTAAAATACACAAAGTTAGAAAAAATAGAAAAAGTTCTACCGAAAGGGGTAAATACAGTAATAACATGGAAAACGTTGACATTTTTTCATATTCACTCATTAAAGAGAAGTTTCTGATCACATACGATATGGTTTTAGATGAAAAATATTAAGTTATGACTGTTTTATAAAACAAAAAGCATACAGATTTTGAATGCATCGTGAAGGTTAAGTAATGTTTACTAGATCGTTAACAGAAGCCTCAACAAACAACTCAATAGGAAATATGAAACATCAGGATTGAGTGAATAAGTGTGTGTGAAAGAGCCATGTGTAACCGCAGCGTTTATGTTCACACATGCTTTCAATATCTCTCAAGGTTCACGATAAGATAACTCGTCAGTGTGCCAACAAAGGAAACGCCTTCCTTTGACATTTCCTGCCTTATTCACCAAGGCCACGAGTCACATCCTAAAATGAGACGTTTTAGTGATCTATCGCTCGACTTTTCCTGAAACGAAGCTCTTGCACTGACACGGTGCGGTCGTGGTGGAAGGCAGTGAAACTCATCGCTGTTTTTGGCGAGCGCTCGAAGTGTAGCTTGAATTTCAAACCCTATCAAGCGGCCTGTCTAGATTGGTTTACACAAGTCGAGAGGAAGAAAGCTTTACCTAGAATGCATCAATACCAGCACCGACTGTGATCTGTGTTTGTGCTCCGTTTCACTTACTATAGCAACCGCTTAATGAAGAAACACGCTCATACATTCCCTTCAAGAGTAGAGTGTCAGTACTTCCCCCGTTATCTGCTTAATCAAACTATATCTGTGGCCATAATTCATCTCACAGATATTAAATCTGACTCCAGCAGGGCCGCTGTCCATGTGCTTGAATGGTTGTTTTTGTCAGGACTTGTCTTCACAGATACAGCAAGTTCAAGCATCCAAGCAAAACACTGATTCATCGCAAACATATGCTTGATAACGAATAAAATAAAGCATGTTAATAAGTAATTTGACTTTAATGACAAAGAAAAGGTTATTAATCAGTTATTGAATACTTTACTTTCAAAAATCTACAAAGCTATTTTCATAGGAGCCTGATAAAAATGCTCATTTACAAGAAAAATCTCAGATGGACTTTCTGTATATTATTTAAAAAAAATGATCTTATCATTTTATATTATATATATTATAATTAGACAGCTTTATTAAAAAAAATTATATACATCTATATATCTATATTTATCTTATCTATCTGTCTGTCTATTTTTATAATTTTATTAAAAAATATAGCATTTTACAAAAATATTTAACTAAAATGTATATATAATATATATTTGTTTATTAATTTATTTATTTATTACAATTAGACATTCTTATTTATTAAAATATATATAATTATATATTTAATAATTATATTTATTTATTTATTAAATAAATATTGAGTAAAATGCTGTGTATAAATATGTATAAATGTATTTCATAAAATGTAATAAATTATATATATTATAATTAGACCACTTTATGTACATAAATAATTAGAAAATGTAATTGATTAAATAAATATTTTGCAAAATGCAAATTGTGTAAATATGCATATAGTGTTTTACAAAATATAAAAGAAAAAAAATATTTATATTATTATATTTTTTCTAAATATTTTTTATATATTTATATGTATTTTATTTATATATAAATTATAAAAAAATATATCATAGATAGATAGATAGATTGAAAACAGAATTATAATATACATTTACAGTAGACATACAAGCCAATTATTAATTCTTTGTCACACTTTGCTGTTTCAAGGGTTTTGTCAGGATATTCAGTAAGGCTTTGTCCTCAGTGAACAGAAATTGTTGTAATTTGGATTTTATCAGATGCCTGTGGGTCTGGTCTTTCATCTTATATATTTATATGTATGTTATTTATATATAAATTATAAAAAAATATATCATAGATAGATAGATAGATTGAAAACAGAATTATAATATACATTTACAGTAGACATACAAGCCAATTATTAATTCTTTGTCACACTTTGCTGTTTCAAGGGTTTTGTCAGGATATTCAGTAAGGCTTTGTCCTCAGTGAACAGAAATTGTTGTAATTTGGATTTTATCAGATGCCTGTGGGTCTGGTCTTTCATCAGTGATCTGATCGTGTGATTGGCTAATAGGACGATCACTCTTGCTTTTACAGAAATTGCTGTGAAAAGCAGAGCAGCTTTACTGATGCAGCCGTCCAGTAGAAAACTGCTGATGCCATGCCTTGCACCGCAGTCTCTGCAGTGTGTGTGTGTGTGAGTGTGTGTGAGTGTGTGTGAGTGTGTGTGAGTGTGTGTGAGTGTGTGTGTGTGAGAGAGAGAGTGTGTGTGTGTGTGTGTGTGTGTGTGTGTGTGGGTGGGAGTTGGTGTGTGAGTGGGTGTGGGTGTGTGTGTGTGAGTGGGTGTGAGGGTGAGTGTGTGTGAGTGTGTGTGTGAGTGTGTGTGAGTGTGTGTGAGTGTGTGTGAGTGTGAGTGTGTGTGAGTGTGTGTGAGTGTGTTAGAGCCCGACCGATATGGGTTTTTTGGGGGCCGATGCCGATACCGATATTAGGGAGTAAAAAAAGACTGATATCGAAATATCGGCCGATATTCTTTATGTGTAGACTATACTATAGTACAGTATAGTCAAAAGTTTGGACACACTTCCCATTCGTGTGTCCAAACTTTTGGCTGGTACTGTATATAGAATACAGTATATAGCCTACATAAACAGAATATAGCTTACATAAACACATTTTTTGCAATGATAACTCAAATGTGGTGATCAAACACTTATAATGATGTGACAAACATAGGCCTATGTAATGGAGGCAGGGTATTTAACAATTTAACAATAAACTTTATTATTCAAAATTAGTCTGACATCAGTGCACTTAACAGTAAACTTCACTTCACTTATTATAAATAACTTAAATAACACAAATAGAACAAAATATATATAACTTGAATTAAGAAATTAAACAAGGTAACGGTGAAGGGCAAGCAAGCTACTGCCAAACCAACAGGGGCAGGTTTATGCAGGAAGCACAGCTTTTCCAAATGTAAACATCTAAAATGAATAAATGTTTTGTGTATTTTCTGGTAATCCAATGAACATGCAGAACATTCATATTTAAATCATCTTTTTGCAGTTTAATATTCACATACACAGTCTATATATATATATATATGTACTGACCTGTTTTTTATTTATTCACACAAATAGAACAAAATATATATAACTTGAATTAAGAAATTAAACAAGGTAACGGTGAAGGGCAAGCAAGCTACTGCCAAACCAACAGGGGCAGGTTTATGCAGGAAGCACAGCTTTTCCAAATGTAAACATCTAAAATGAATAAATGTTTTGTGTATTTTCTGGTAATCCAATGAACATGCAGAACATTCATATTTAAATCATCTTTTTGCAGTTTAATATTTACATACACAGTCTATATATATATATGTACTGACCTGTTTTTTATTTATTCATCAAAAATAAGACCAATTCCATGAAATTCCGTGTTATACAGTAAATTCCGTTTTTATGACTGGATTCCATGATTCCGTCCATGTTTTCTGCATCGTGGGAATTACAGGGCCCTAATAATGTAGCAAACAAATATGATAAGCTCATTGTGAGAGTAAAAGATGGGGACATTGTTGTTTATTTACTGAGCATTGAGTCTCTCCAACTAGGTTACAACGTAGCGTTAAATCACCATTCAACAGACTCAAGCCACCACCGCACTGCCGTCTATTGGACTGCAGAAAGACAGTCTACTAACTTTTCAGTCTGCTACGTTACTGACTGTACTGACAAACTGTGCTGACACCGTGTCTGCGCCGCAACAGGACGCGACAAAGCGACTGTTGAAAATCATTTGAACTTTGTGTCAGCACGTCATAAATTGAACGAGGCATCAGTTTACTGAATCCAGTGATTATAATGGGTTCTATTCTACACCGGACGCGAGCGGTGGCCGTAACACAGGCTTTAATGCGCCGTAGATGCGTGCCGTGATGCGCAGACCAGCTCTAGTCTCTAACGTCACTGAATCTGCTGTTAAAATGAGCCATCCATTCATCATATCATCATGCAAAACTAAGAATTAGAATCATTGTAATGTGACGATCAAATATAGGTGCGGACTCGGGTGAAGTTTGAGCTCATCCGCGCATCTCTACGCTACACTGACCTGGGTCGCCAGTAGCAAAGAATGGAGCGCACTCTGCTGGACAAACTAAGTAATTACACCATTCCGAAGCATTTAATCTGCGTTATATGTTCTGTAAAAAAATGTCATATCGGCGGCATATTCGCCGATACCGATATATCGGCGACAAGCTCATATCGGCCGATAAAATCGGCTAAACGATATATCGGTCGGGCTGTAGTGTGTGTGTGTGTGTGTGTGTGAGGTCCTCTTACCCGCTCTGAGAGGAACGTACCACCTCCGTGTCTCAGAGGGAGGATGGATATCCATCCCGCCTCGTTCTGCCCCGCTGCCCTGCAGCTCATTAGTGAAATGCTGTCACTTCACCTTAAGCGCGTCCACTGAGGATCAGCTGCTGATTGAGCCGTCTCTCTAAGCATGATGGGATAGCCAGTCCTCCAGAGACATGGGCCGCTCGACCTCTGCTCTCAAGCTCATCCATTTGATCACACAACAGCTTTCTCCAGATTATAAATAATGTATTGTATGTACATTATTTTTTGTTATAAAAGATGGTCTGTATTGGCTGTGACTAGACACAAGATACTTTTTTTTTTGAGTAAAGAAAATGCTTTAATTATTGTTATTATTATAGGCAAAAAATATATATAATAACGTTATTAACCGGAATTTTTGCTACTCAAATGGTAATAATACAGAAGGACGCATGAATAGAAACGTTAAAATACTGATTCTGCTCGGAGTGAAACGATTGAATTGTGTTTTTTTTGTTTTTTTAAGCCCTGATTTTAATACACATTTGATTTTAATAGACTATTTATTTATTTTTATTTTCTTTTAATATTTTATTTATTTTTACAGTTTTTCTGAAAAGATTTAGTTTTTTATTTATTATTATAATTTTTTTTTTTTAATCAAATTTGTATTAATTACTTTTTTATATAGAAAATAACACTCACTATAGTACTGTACTGTTAAATTATTATTTATATATGTATTTATTTAAACTCTTTTTTTATTTAATTATTTTTTATAACATTTTTATTATATTTATTTTTAATGCAAATAAATGAGAAAATATTTAGTTTCTATTACTTTACAACACTTTTTTTCCTTGCTATAATGCCATATATATATATATATATATATATATATATATATATATATATATATATATTTTTTTTTTTTTCACCGCGTGTATATTTTTC